CTTTAATCATTGACATATTATTAAGAAACCAATTTCTCAAAATTTTGATATTTGCCTTTGTTTTTAAAATATCGTTTATTTAACATAACCATATTAATTTTTTCGATTTTTCCATTCTAAACCATCCTGAATCGTTCTTACTGGTGAATTTTTTTAGCAATTGTTATACCTTTCAGCCAGCGTATTTACTATGATTAAAAATATCGAATACCTCAATGATATGCTGTACAGTGGCGTGCAAAGAGAAATTATTATTTTTCATTAAATCAATTTTATTAGCAATTGTTATATCTTTCGATTAGCGTATTTTTATGATTAAAAATTTCGAATACCTCAATGATATGCTATACAGTGGCGTGCTAATAATTATTTATACCACTGATAAAATTTAAATATTCGGAACAGATTTCGTTGTGGTGAGAGGAAACCCGAATTTTTATTACCTGCTAATTTTCTTTACAGCTTCATGTTTAAAGGTATTTCAATTAAAAATTCTTCCACTAATGGTAGCAGTATCACAAAATAAAGTTAAGGATGGTAAATTACATTATCTGCCAAACAAAAAATTATATGAACAACGTTATTGCTTCTTCAAGTTCGTTCAAAACAAAATACAAAAAAGGTTCCTATAGGTTTTTTCCGTTATGTTTAGGATGACGTCGTAGAACAAGGACTGACAATGTTGCCAATGCCTATTTTTTTCCTTATAATTTACCAGAATGTAATAAAAAATTATCAAGACCACTGGCAGCTAAAAATAACAAAATGAATCGACACGTGTTATTTATTTGAAAATGTTTATTTAAATCATGCAACGTCGCGCGCCGTTGTCAACCCGTAACATCTGAAATTCCCCTACTTCAAATGAGATGGCTCCATTTGTGCTACTGTGCATTTGTGCTAATCCGCAAATGGTCTACTCACGAACGCGATCGGCTATGATCGGGATCAGTTAACATGATCGCGGAGGAGTAGCAAGAGTAGTTGAAGGTTTTGTGTGCGCGGCGGGCGCGCGGAACATCTGGTGTAATCAGCTGATAATAATAAAAATAAATTAAAAAATGTATTTGTATTTAGTGAGATTGTGGACTTTATTTTTATTAACTACAGTAGAGTTAAGATTTTAGAAATATATAATATACTTATTTATTAAAGCGTAGAGTCCTTGTAGAGTTTATACAGACGTGTAAAATTATTTATATATAAATGTAAAGTCAATAATACATATACCTATCCAAAGTATCTCCCCAGATTTAAAATCAAATGGGGTTGTATTATTTATTGATTTCCCAGAATATTAGGTCAATAAACCTAGCAGTCCCATATGGAAAAAAACGAAGGGATTGCTAGGTTAATATGAAATATCGCAGTCCCCTCTAGTGAAAAATATTTTTTTAAATTTTTCTTTGGTATCAGAATTTAGATAATATGCTTTTTAAAGTTCTCCTAAATACCTGGTCAAAGAAAAAATTGAATCAGTTAATTATTAACTGAATTACAGATTTTTTTTCAATATTAGGAAATTCCTGGATTCACGTTTACTTATTGGGGGTGTGTTAGAGGCTTACAGCCAATTTCATAATCAACTTAAAGTAAACTTTAAATATAAGGTCCATTTGAAGTAGAAAAATCCCATCCTAAAAGTCTATTTAGCTAAAGTAACTTTTAATTCTCTATCATGAAATTGGCCGTTAAACCGTTAAAGGCTGAAATGTTTTTGGATTGAATTTAGGTACCTACTATTTAAGTGCTCCTAAATTGTCAAAGAAACACTTGAATCTGTTAATTATTAACTGAATTACAGTTTTTTTTCATTATTGGCAAATTATTGGCTTCACGTTCAGTTGGTGGTGTGTCAGAGCTAAAATGTTTATGGATAGGAATTAGTGCTATTTAAGTGCTTCTCAATATTTGAAGAAAAACTTGAATCAGTTAATTATTAAACTGAAGTACAAATTTTTTTTTCATTAAGGAATTGCTGGCTTTACATTTACTTGGGGATGTATTTGCATTGCAGCGAATCTGAAAACTGCGACTAAAATGTTGTATTGGAATTTGGTGCTATTTAAGTGCTCCCAAAAAGTTGAAGTTTTAGATAGTTCAAGTTTTTCTTCGACTATTCAGGAGCACTAAGATAGCACCTAATTCCAATTATTACAACATTATAGCCACTGTTATCAGTGTTATCAGTTTCGCTGCAAATATTTACACCCCCAAGTAAACGTAAGGCCAGTAGTTCAGTTCCCTATAATAATACAAAAAAAATCTATAATTCAAATAATATAACTAATTCATGTTTTTCTTTGACTATTTAGGAGCACTTGAGCACCTAAGTCCTATCCAGAAAAAAATTAGCTTTTAACCACCAACTAGTTAAACGTGAAGCCAACAATTTCCATTTCCTAATAATGAGAAAAAATCTCTATTTAGTTTAATGATTAACTGATCAAATTTTCTTTGACTATTTGGAAACACTTGCATAGCAAGAATCATAAACTATAGGATTGCTTTTCCTTATAAGGCGTACGTTCGCCAATTCTCGAGTCGGCAAGGCCTGCGAGTGACGTTAGTACTATTAGCAGCATAGCCTCTTATAGTGGTGACGTCACCCGCAAGCCTCGATGGGATGCTTGCGATTCAGGTTGTGCTTGTTTCTTCATCGATTTTAAATGTAGAAAAGGTGATTCCTGGTAATGAAAAAAATCTGAATGACTGTTCTTCTTCGACTATTTAGGAGCACTTGGATAGCTTATTTGCTAATTCCTATCCAGAAACTAGCTTCTGCACACAGTGGCTTTACACTCGGTAAACTCCGAGCAGTCCGAGCGCGCTCGAAACATTAAGATAGCGAAAATAGAATTCAACTTCTGGAATCTCTTTCTCAGTGAAAATGTTCTATCTTTGATTGTTGAGTACCCGAATCAATACATAGAAATTGTAAAACCGAAATTCATCAGATGGTTCAATTTTTTTATCAATGATTTAGTATATGTATCTCTGTGATACAGCGTGACTAATGATGTTATAAAACTCGCGATGGAAGGTTAAAATAAATTAATATTTAACCAATAAAATATTAAAAGTTAAAATTTTCCATTTTTAAAGTAAACAAAACACCACACCCACTCAATACTTGAAAAATATCGAAATAGAATTCTATTTTCTATTTTAAATACCCGCCATATGGAGAGGGAACGGCAACGCTGTACTCATTTGCGCTACAACAACTGCATTCGTTTCGATGAGGGTCATACTCCGGTCGGACTTCGGCTCGTCCGACGTTCCCGCCCGAAGGCGACTTCGGGTGGGTAGAGCAAATGAACATTAGCACAAATGGGGTGATCCCCTTCAAATGCGTTAAGAAGTACTTTCAGTTTAGTTAGGTAGATACCTAGGTAAAACGAATCGAAATATGTGAACTAAAAAACTAATCAAAGTAAGATTCAATAACAACAACAAAGTGACCTGAAAGTTAGGTAATAAACAACGTAAACTAAAAAAATTAATAAAGAACGGCCGATAATCAAAGTTATTTAATTAATAGCTAGTAAGCCCTCCCCTCACATTCACAACCTCTTGGCATCGCCGTGGCATGTTCTCAACCAAGAGATTAATGAATGCCTGAGGGATATTTTGCCACTCTTCTTCTATGGTTAGTGCGAACTTATCCAGCGTTTGGAAGCATTTTCGCGCGATCATACCAGTAACTTAAGCTGAGACCACACAAGATCAGGAGATTTTGGAGGCAGATGTAACTGCTGCATGTTATGGTGTCCCAAAAGCTCCTAAATAATTCTTGCTTTGTGTGGTCTTGCATTATGTTCAACCATGAAGAAATGCTCCCCAATATTTTCTGCATATGGAATAACAATGACATTTATTATGTGATTCCGATAAATTACGGCGTTAACAGTTATCCGTGAAATGTATAAGTCGGATCTATCGTTGTACATCACTCCGGCCCAAACATTAAACCCTCCTCCTCCAAAGGTTTCCTGAGAAGCCATGTTGTCTTCTTGTGTCTATTGTATGAATGTCTATTATATGATTTATTGTTACTTTTGTTTTTTTTTACATATCATCTAATACCTATGTCGATGTAAAAAATTCTAAAACCGCCGCGCCAGTTAATCTATCATCTTACAAGGTAAAATCACAGAAAATAATAAATGCCCGAGAGGATCGCGCAACGCTGTTAAAATTTGTTTGCCGAAAAGCTAGCGCGAATATAAATTATTTCAATTTATAACACCGGAGCAGCGCCTCTAGCGGTCTGCCGTCGCCCATAAGCGTAAGTTTTCTATAGTTAACTATAATATTCTTTGCTAGTAGGTACCTACTATTTTCATCAAATTATATATACACTGTGTCTGAGTTTATGTGATAGATATAATGATAGATAAAAGAGTACCTACAATATGAAGTTCCATGATGTGTTTGCAGAAATACCAGGATTTTGATTTTTTACGGCTGAAACTTCAAGTTTCAAGGAGGATGTTTATTAGTACATGGATACCTTGAACATGAGTCTTTTTTTCGACTTTGTGATATACAGGGTGTTCTATTGAAAATAGTGGAGAATTTCGATGCTGAAAAACGGATTTTTTTCAACTCGCCCTTTATAGGAGTGAAAAAAATTTGCAGCCTACTAAAAACTTTAGGACATGAGAAATCGAACGATGCAAACCGCCGGTGGCTAGCACACCTGGTTTAAAAGCTATAAGCATTTAAAATGGGTCACGCTCGGCTAGGACACCCTGTATTTCGTCAATAAGCAATAAATTAGGCCTATTGTTTTTTTATAAAAAAATAGTACCTATATTGTTTTATCAGCAGTAAAAATGATAGTTTGTGTGGCAAGACTAAATGTTTTTAGACAAGCCACAAAAAGTGCTTTTCTATTCCTATCTGTGAATGAATGTTTAACTTTAAATATAGGTACTGAGAATCCTTCCATACTTCCATGGAACTTCACATAATATTTCCATGTTCTATTTTAGTCTAAAATTGTAAGAACCTACAGAGTAGAAAAACGGTTGGTTTCAAAATCCATCGCATTGAGGAAAGCATGGAAGAAATTTGGAGAATCTGCTTATGACAAGCCTGGTCCTAATCCAGCCACCACCATTGTCGGAGAAGATGTTTATATACAATTTATCTCAAGTAAAGAGGAAGATAACAAACCTGACGATGATGGCCTCGATAAACTGAAAGGTATGTGAAGTGCGACATTTCTTAGATTTTTATTTTATGATGGGTTGTTTCATTTTCAGCTTTGGGTGATAAGAATGTGGTTAAATGTCGTAACTGTGGAGGTGACCATTGGACTTCAAAATGTCCGTGGAAAGATACAGTTTTGGCTAAAATGCCTGATGATAAGAAGCCAGCTACAGGAGGAGGTAATAATTATTATCAGTTAATAGTTTAAATAATACTTCAATGCTTCTGTTGTTAAAAAATAGGACCAAGTGCAGATGGTAACAAAATGGGTGGATCTAAATATGTTCCTCCAAGCATGAGAGATGGTGCTGCTGCTACAGATGGTTCCAGCATGTCAAGGAGAGATGACAATTATTCTGCAATCCGTATTGCTAACCTCAGTGATTCCACTACAGAAACTGATTTGGAAGAACTAGTCAAACCTTTTGGTCCAATTCACAAATTGTATTTGGCAAAAGACAAACTAACAGGGCTTTGCAGAGGTTTTGCGTACATTCATTTTAAATTTAAAAATGATGCTGCAAAAGCCATTGCTAGGCTCAATGGACATGGTTATGACCATCTTATTTTATCTGTAGACTGGTCCAAACCTATGAATAATCAGTAACAAGTTACTTTCACTTATTTACAATTCAAAACTTCTTTAATTATGACTCAAGTAATTTGTTGTTTTTTCTGTCGCAAATTTAAGCCATTAAAAGAGTTTTTAATTGTAATGTTAAATCAAGTTGAAATATATTGTCTATATGAACATTGCATTTTTTTTGAAAACAAACTTCTATTTAATCAGACCAGAAAGTCTACCTCAGAGGTCAGGTAGATTTTTGGCAATCTCTAGAGTAGAGTAACATTTACTCTAAACATTTCTTTAGATCATACTCATCGGTAAAACTGGTGCCAGCAATTTGCCAATAAATTGACTGTCGTTCATATAAATTTTTTAAATTTTTATATTGGTCCGCTCACAAAAGACAAGTCTATACATGGCCTATACTACCTAAGCAGTACCATGAGTGAAAAAAATTAAGTGAGGACTAACCCTCCATTTAAACACATTACGACTAAATCGTTCAGGAAATGAAGTAGCAGGCAAGGAGTTCCAGAGGTGGACAGTACGCTACCAAAAAAGCCCTATATTTAGAGGCCCTTGGGATAGCCAACTCTACCAGATACACATGGGATGCCTGTGAAGTTCTTGTGGGTTTTGGATAACTTCTAGCTGGAATGAGACTATCTAGAATATAGATCATCAGAATATCTTCCCTGACTAGGTTGTCAAGATCACAGTTGATAGAGTAAATCTGTTCTCAGGTGAGTTGTGTGGAAGTGGTTGCAGTGAGCGGTTTGCTAGAAGAGAAAGTTGCCATCAGGCTACTACTATCATTTATAAAACATATTTGGGGACAGAATTGAGCCTTGGGGAACGCCAGCATTTTTCCTATTGTAAAACCAGCTCACCAGCTATGCCTACGGCAATGACAGGGATTGTCATATTTGACAAAATATCCATTGAAGAGAAAAGACTGATTTTTGATTTACCCTTAGATTTACCAAAAATAGCGAAAAATGACAAGTCCTGTCATTTTTCGTACAAAGTATCGCAAAGTCTAGACGCTTCTTTAGCAAGTTATAGTAAGTCGTCATTATTCGTCATTATTAAGTTAATGTCCAATATAATTCTGTATTTTGAAATAAATTAGTGTTTTTTAAAAAAGTGTCTTCTCAAGAGTTTTTGAGATAACAATTTGGCGCAGTCGGTAGGATTTCTCAACGCCGTCAGAATATTCTAACTGATAGCGGTGGTTTCTGATCCTTTAAACAGAAAAAAAAAATGGAAGAATCCCAACTCGAAGTGAACACGACGAGAACATATGCAGCCTATTCTTTTGATGTAAGTACCTCAAGAATTGTTTTTTTTTGTAGTTTATGATACTGTTCGATTTTTCAAATATTCCCTATTATTATTTTTTTTTTGCATATTATACCATATTTTGCGAAGATTTATTCTACCATATTTTGAAAACTTACCAACACTATACTTTATTTTTTTTCCAAGCTAGATTTTGGCATTGTCAATTTTGAAACATAAACAATGCCACTAATGCCGCTTATTGGTCGCTATTGTAAAACTGATGTCAACCTGCAGAAACACCTCATTTTGCGACCAATTAGGGTCAAGCGTTATTGTTTATGTTTCAAAGTTTTCAATGTCAAAATCTATCTTGGGAAAAAATAAAGTATAAATACCAACCAATTTTCATAAATCGTTTTCATTAACCATATTTTGAAAAGTTTTTCAATCAATTACTTTTGAATTTTTTTTTTTGTTTTTGAATATTTTTATTTAGATCAACAAAATGCCTAATGAAACCAATGAAACCACTGTAGAAGTTGAAATATACAAACTTTCCGAAATATTTTCGATAATTCCTGAATTTGAAGGAGATCAAATCTTCTTAGGAAACTTTATTAATGCATGCGATTGTGCCTACCATATGGCAACCACGCAACAAAAAGTTTTACTTGTTATTCACATTAACAATAAACTCAGAGGTAGAGCAGGTCAACTGATAACTTCTCGAAACCCCAATTCGTATTTGGAGATCAAACAACTTCTGAATTTACACTTCTAGAGACCTCTCAGCCCTTATCCATGACCTCCAATGACTGAAACAACTACCTGGCGAGTCTCCACTTACTTTCTACAACAGACTTCAAGTACTGAATGCAAAAATGCATTCTGCTATCCAAAAGTCACCACACCTTAAAACACAAGATCAAAAAGAAGCACAGTCCTCCCTTGTGAAATCTATGGCCCTAAACACTCTTCTTACAGGCTTAGAACCTCGCCCACATTCTGTTTTAGATGCTCAATGTAGAATCAGGAGAGAAATCCAACTTTCCTATTTTAAGAATCAGAAGACTCCAAAACCGCCTGTTCAAAAAGTTTTCATCAACAAACCATAAAATTCTTTTCTTGCGGAAAAATTGGCCACACAGCCAATCAATGCAGAATGTAAACAACAAGCTTCCAATTGTTCAAACTTCACTCAACACCCAAATCAAAATTTCCAAAATACGACAACAGCTAAAGTTCATTCCACCAAACGAGATAGTAGAGGTAAACAAACAGGCGGAGCTTATAGTCTGGGAGACGACCGCATTTTTCCTACCCCGATCGAGTTATGTGTCGACACTATTATCAATATATAGTATTATGTGCATCTATTAACTTGTATTCCTGCCTGAGAGCAAATGCTGCCGGAAATATCTTTTAACAAATTATTAACAAATTGAAAAAAACGTAATACTACCCCCATCGATTTATGCCCTAAGTAGGGTATCAGATTGAAGGTCTCGATGTCCCCTATCTAAAAAGTCGATCCTGCCTCGTGAGAACTTGCCGGAAAAAGGAGGCAGGACAGCTTATTGGGGCAAGGGCCAGCGGTCTCTGCTTTGACACCTATCAAGCTTTGCACTAAATGATGTGTCAAATTAAAGGAGTCAATAAGTTGATTTAAGGTCTGTTCGCAGAGAAATCACAAACCAGTCAGAGCGAATTTAATTGGTTGGAAACGGTCAAGCAGCGTTTTCCTAGCAACGCACATTTTACGCGGCGTAGAACGTAATACGGCCGACGCAACGCAACATCCAATGCGCTGCGTAAAAGTGTTTTCCTAGGATTGTCAGTTGCGTCCGGATCGTCCCGATGAGTATATCAAAAAAGAAATAAGCTTTGGCCTTATTATTATTACAAGAGGAGATTTATACATAATAGCCACGATTCATGATAGGACTCGAAATTCTGCGCTAGTCAATTATTTCAAAAAAGAAGAAGCGATTTAAAATACTTATCCATAGACATCTGCTCGACGACGAAGTGAAATTTAAAGCATATTTTAGAGTTACGTTGCAAGACAGCAATTCTCATTTCTCCTCGATCTTTTGAGAAAAGATTTAAGTAAGGAACCATGTAATCGTGTGCGACATCCTATTTCGCTACCTGAAAAACTTGGCCTAACACTAAGGTATATAAATATAATACCAGGGCCCGCTCTAGGTTTTTTACCACCCTGGGCAATGAGTAAATATGCCGCCCCATCCCATGACTTGCTTGGGGAGATTATTTTGATTGAATTATATAAAAAATAATAACACGAAATAGTAAGCTATAGAAATAAAAATAAAACCACACACTTTATTATGTTATAGGTTAGGTATAATATATATAAAAAAAACAAAAATACTGTCGCGGCTTTGGGTTGCCTGCTGACAAAAATCTTGGGTTCGTGGTTCGTTTCGTTTATTCCAAAAATCAAAGTCCAATTAACACAGCAATAATTTATTCCACTTAACAAAACACTCTGACACTAATTACTTTATTAACAAACTCAACAATCAAACTCTTTACAATCACTATTTAAATCGTATCACAGTCGAACTGAAACTTAACTTACAAACCAATGCCGGCCTTCTTATATATCCCTAAATCTATTCCTGTGAAATCTAGAATACACACGATAATCTAATTTTCCAGATTAAAGTAGAATAATTCGCTAGATTCTAGTATTTCCGAGATCGATTCTTGACAGCCTGGCGGACGTTTAACTTATTGTGACACTACCCTCCTCTTAAGGTTGATCGTCCCGATCAACTTCACGCCCATGATATTTCGCCAACCTGTCCAGATGTACAACTTTCATCTTACTCCTGGTGTTGCGCTGGACTCGATAAACCAAATCATTGATCCTCTTGATTACTCTATAGGGTCCTTCCCATGCTGAAGACAATTTCGGTGATACTCCTTTCTTCCTTACTGGGTTATACAACCACACTAAATCACCTTCTTGAAATCCGACCGAATTGGCCTTCAAGTCGTATCTGGTCTTCATTCGGTCACTGGCTAGTTGAATATGCTCCCGAGCAAAATCATGGATACCCAGAAGTCGTGCCCTTACTTCGTCGGCATAATCTCGGATTTCTCTTCGTTCTTCTTCGGGTACTCCAAACATCAGATCGCAAGGTAACCTGAGTTCCCTTCCAAAAACAATTCTAGCCGGACTTTCACCTGTTGAATCGTGAACAGCCGCTGTGTAAGCCATTAAAAAGAGAGGCAAATGCTTGTCCCAATCTCGTTGGTTCTTTGCGACCACTTTTGTCAGGTGTTCCTCTATGGTCTTATTGAATCGTTCCACCATGCCATCAGACTGAGGGTGTAAAGGTGTTGTCCTTGTCTTACGAACGCCCATGATCTCACAAACTTTCTTAAAGATGGCAGATTCGAAGTTTCGTCCCTGGTCTGAATGTAACTCTAGTGGCACACCATGACGACTAAAAACTTCGTCCACTAGCACCTGGGCAACAGTGATGGCTTCTTGATTGGGAATAGCGAAAACTTCTGGCCATTTACTGAAGTAATCCATGATAACTAAGATGTATTTGTTACCACGCTCTGACTCTGGGAACGGTCCTGCTACATCTATCGCTATTCTCTCAAATGGAAGACCAACGTTGTACTGTTTCATGGGCCCCCGAGATCTTAGTTTAGGGCCTTTACTGGTAGCACAGATGTCGCATTTTCGGCACCAGCTTTTAACGTCTTCATGGTAGTGAACCCAGTAAAAACGTTCCCGAATTTTGTCCAAAGTCTTGTTAACTCCGAAATGTGCCCCTGAGGTTCCGTCGTGTATTTCTTTTAATACATCTTCCACTCGGTCTTTTGGGATAACCAGTTGGCTCTTAGTGGATTTC